CTGATTATCAGTAGTTTTCTTTGACTTTCTCTGCTGGTGATCTTTRTTTTGTCTTCCTGGGAATGGTATCCAACTCTCAACATCTCTGGAAAGTTCACTAAACTTTGGCTCATGCTCGGGTAACGYGACCAAACGCTTTTCTYTCTTCGTCGAGTAACTTGACTCGTCTGAGCTTGAGCATCTGCTAGGCGGAGGGTTTGGGAATGGAGGTTTTGTACTAGTAAACTCCTCGCTTGATCGTCTAAAGTCTGTGAAAATATCTTGTGGTGAGATTCTATAGCGGTCTTTATAWGAGTTCAAAGTCCCTCCAATTTCTGWTACCCGGTTCCTAACCACGGCGTTTTCAATTGCTTTCTTTAGGTCKGAACTGTAGCTTATCTTAGGTAAGACAACATCACTTGAAGGCACTGAGCCTCGRTGTGACAGCTTTAGTTTGACTTCAGGACTAGTCTTTGACCTGCCATGAACAGCTGAGTTCTTCGAAGTGGAAGCAACYCCTTTTTGTGTGGATAAAACTGAGCAATCTAAAGATAAAACTTGGCTTGAAGGACTACTTAACGTTCTCACAGAATCWMGACTTTTGTGGTCTGTTTTCCTTGAAGTTTTCTTAACTTTTTTAATCTTGTTTTGTTTGCTTTTGCCTCCACGAYGATCTGAATCTTTTCTCTTAGTATTTTTGTAYACCTCTTCGACTAGTTTGTTTCTTCTTGCTGCTGTTCGTGTTGTACTTAGACGGTCCCATTTGTTTGGGATTTCGAAAACTTCGTCGTTCAAATCAAAGCGTACCGCTTTCTTCCCTGATGATATAGACGAAGCTGCATCTTCTTCTGAAGTAGAGCTATCCATCACAATCCTATCACAACTACAGTCCAGTCACAACAGCTTCCCTTCATAATAACTTCCTTTATAATTCAACTTCCAAATGAGTTTGTGAAAGTTTCTTATCGGCTTTCTGTTAAGTTAGAGATGATTTTTGGTGGAGTTTTGAGTCGTGTTTCCATGAGTTATTATAATTTATTAAGAGTGATGTCAAGACGATAAGAACTTTATATGTGAATAACAAAGGCCTGTGTCTATGTGGGATTAGTGGCGGACAATAGCGATGTCCTTCCGACTTGGCAGTCTTTAATCTGAAGTAAGCCCTTTATATCCATAGATACCCGACTTTCAGCAAACCGACCAACACTCCGGACCCTCAATCCGAACAGGATAATATTGATGTTCTTCCGATCTGAAGTAAACSTTTAATTTTTTATGATTTGCGCCGACTCTCAGCATACCGTCCAACAAACCCCTTCAATCCGAACTGGATATCAGTGATTTCTTTTCGGATCAAGGCAGTCATTTAAATCTGAAGTACGCCCTTTAAATACATCCTGTATACCGACCATTAAACCCCCTCAATCCGAACAGCTGATTATTGTTTATATTGTCGTTTTTCCGTAGCATTATAGTGAATATATACATGAAAGTTAAGGCTATACGCCACTTTTTAAAAGTTATTTTACTTCGAGCACCGACATCAACTAAGTAGAGTCTACTAGAGTATACGTCCATTGGCAATTTTGAAATAATTCCGCATATCAATAATAGTATTCAKTTGCCTTCCGTATTCAAAACCTTAGAACAGAACYTATGAAATTCCTCCAACGAGGTGAGGGTAAAAAATAGCGAAACATTCGCAAAAATGCGCAAATCTTTAGAAAATTTGAGACCGCATTCGTTTATCAGCGGCATCACGCGCATTCAAATTTCAGTCYAAATATGCGCARTAAAATCCAACATGGCGTCCTCCTTGACGTCCATGTGGTCCAAAATCMCTCGAAATAATGCATTTTTTCKCAGGTAGATCACCAATATTCATGCWTTTTTAAGGMAAACAGCTTAACAGATGTTATTTATTTGTGTTACCTGACAGATCTCTTCCAATTTTGGCGCAAGGTTTGAAAACATCGACATCTTGTTTKGGRCTSGAGGAGTTTTTTCCACCCGGCGTCCTYGAGAAAGGCGAACTAGCTCCTGAAGAGGTTAAAACAGGTAAAACAAGAAATGTTATTTATATATTTATTGAAAAAATAGTCTTAGCTAGTATATTGCAAWTTTTAAAATCTATCGAAATATTTTGCTTTGGGAATGTTTTGTTTTTCTAATCTTATGTACTTAAGCTTAAGTAACTTAATCTTGCACTATTTTTGAGTTGGTTAAAATGTGAAATAATTCTTTTCCAGGTAGAAGATGGAGAGCTGGAGAATTAAGAATTAAATCTAATGAAGATTTGCAAAAGCTTTGGTTGGTATTATCATGATAATGATTGTTATAATGAATGTTAGACATCGAGTCACAGCAAAATATGAAATTATAAAACATTATTACTTGAAATTCTTCATACTGTGGTTAGTTGACAACCTTGTGTTGATGCCAGAGCTCAGAGACACAGCTTGCTAATATCTGATAAAAGAAATACATGTAT